GTTTAATGCTGAGGTTAACCTCTAATTATGAGACCACTCTAATTCAAGACCGAGACCACCTTTATAGAAGTACCAAGTGACAAAATGACCTCGAATTGAAGACCAGATTTTAAAATAAAATCAAAGAGATTCAAGTTTTTTTTAAGCAATAAATACTCTTTAATTTAAAAAATTGAACTTCAAAAATGATATCATGTATTTTCATAAATTTATCCATATAAATGAAAGTTTCTTAAGTGTATTGTCTTTGAAAAAGCTAATTTAAAAAAAAGAAATTTTAGTTTTAGGCCACTGGCTGTCATGATATATTCAGTAAATGTTTTACAACGATCTGTTGGCACCTATTACCAAAAAGTGCTGTTAAATCAGCTGCTTAATTTGATGCAATCTTATTTTTCTGATTTTTTTCTTTAGCCATTCAATTGCTGCACTATCCCTATGACCTGTAGTCAAGGGGGAGGGATAAAGTCCCCTTCGTGTTTTCCAACAAATGCACATGTTTGCATATGTTTTAACAGACTGTTTGTTGGACCTTATAGGAAAGCAACAAATCCAAGTGGCGTGCGTTAGTGGAAAGGTCCATTGTTTAGTTACTGTGTATTGAGTGTGTGTTTCAAAATATTATATATTTATACCGTTGTACATAAAAAGTAAAAGCACTTCAAAACTATAAAGAAAAACAAAACCAAATATAACATACTTGAATAATTGTTATCGTTGTTAATGTTATTGCTGTTGTATGTTGTGCTTGGCATGTAGTGGAAGTGTTGGTGTTAAAGAAAAACAGTGTTCTATCTAGGATTCTTGATTGGGGCTCTTTGATTAAATTAGGGGTATTAGCTCACAAACCATGGTGATATAAGGCCATTAGTTGTTTAGCCTTGGGTAGTTTAAACCACTGATATCTACTACTGTATAATAGTAGAGATCAGTGGTTTAAACATGTCAGACAGAGGTCCCGAACTTTGGGCGGACCAGAGCCTCGATCAGGGTCCCGAAATAAAAATCCTTGGTAGGGTTCATGGGGAGAGATTTTATGGCTTAGTATGACCAAAATTGTGCTTCTGAACCAGGATAGGGATTGGAAATCAAAATTATGTTATATAAGAATAGACAAATTATAATTCTGACGACCTCACATTTCGTCGAATGACGGGGTCCCAGGGAGGGCATTTATGTTTGAGTAACTGTTATATAAGAATTGTTATAGGAACACAAAGCAATCCATTAGAGGTAAGACGCCCAAAAGGATGGCGCGACGACATATTTCTGCCGTATCTGTGCAGTCTTATGGACTGTAAGTCGTAACAAATATTCTGTCCTTACTCAAAAAATGATAATATTTTAGTATCTACATCATGATTACTGCAAGATGGTTTAGAATTTATCTCTTTACAAAACTTTTCTTGTACTAACGACCAAAGGGACCTCACAGTAAGTACTTTGCATGTCCTTAACATTAATTGCTTCACAATTTAGCAAGTTGTGTAAAACTGGTTTTCGTGGACGAAAATATGAAAAACTAAAAACGATCTTAGACGACATGATGACGTCACTGGTTTTATCGAGTTAACTCCATAAGCGTGGTTAAATACCAAGGGTAGGCATATCAGCTTACTTTGAATTTTATCCATATTCACTGTTCAATTGCTTTTTTCCAGAGTCAAAAAAATATATAATACATCGAGCACAAAATATTTATCGTGAATACCTTTGATTACAGACTGTTGATGATGAAACAGTTAAGACTTTGTCCTGTGTTTTTATTGGTACTTTTCAAAATTTCCTGGACGAGTCCCACAAAACCACAATGTAAACGTACGTATATATGTGTTTGTGGGTCATGCGTGTATTTTCCACCCTTTTCTAATTGGTCAGTTCATGAATTTGATATTTGGAAAGGTCCATTAGTGACACTCGGAAGGGAAAACGATGGTTCGTGCATGAATGGTTAAACAAGCATTATTAAGAGAAAAAAAAAACACTAACAACCATTTGTTCACATAATTTGAGAAAGATTTATTTATTTTAGTTTTATTACGTCATGATTAAACAACTTCTGTACTACATATTTGCTGATAAACACTGGGAGAATAGACTAATAACATTGTTGATAAAGTACCACTGTATATTTATGGTTTAATCGGTACTAAATAATGTGAAGAGAGAGCAAATGCACAAAGTTGAATTAAGCTATTTTGTTAGTTATATAGTAGGCCTAGGTTATTATAGTTGTAACGTATTTTAAGCCTGTTAAATTTTTAATATTGGAAATTTATGAAGCGCCGGTATTGATTCGAGATGCTGTACAGAACTGCCAAACAAATTATGATGGCGTCATTATACATCTGGTGGATAACCAGGTAATATCGACAACTGTAAATAAAATGGAAAGTAATTAGTATTAGTTTTTATCACAGGCATGGAATACACATGCAAGAATACTGTCATATTCAGAACTGCAGTCCCGTTTCCCCAAAACTGTAGGTGTAGGATCGGGGTTGCAGTTTCTGAATATGGCCGTTTAATTTGTTTATAAAATTAGTTGAATATGTTGGTGATGGTGGTATTAACAGAGAGATAGGAGTTCATTCCGAGTTTCATTTTTGTTTAATTTGTAATATCAAATATTACCATTCATTCATTCATTCCTTAATTGATTGATTCATTCAATTTTTCATTCATACATTCGAACCAACAATTCATAATAAAATAATTATAGGGCCTATATCTATACCATGCCCATATAATTAGTGCCACACCGTAATGGTATTGGAGCGAGACACTGAGAGATCGTTCTTCAAGTGACTGCAGTATCTCTTAAACTTTTCCCCGGACGTTCGGCTATTCCACATTGGGCATCTTCGACAAGACCGTCGAGATCATGATGATCATGATGACATAACCGCAAGATAATTTCATAATCTTATATAACAGTACAATTTGGTATTTTGTATAAATACGTATTACACATAATTTCCAAGGACATAACGTTGCTGCGACCCCTTTAAGATATTTAGGTCTGGGACGTTCCGTTTGAAGGGTCCCCAGAGGCACAACCTACTCCTATTCCCAAATTGCCATGAAAAATTTTTACTGATTGTTAAGCCCAGGAATTAAATTTTATTAACATTGTCAATGGAATTGTTGTCAATAAAGACAGCATCAAAATTGGTTGGATTCTTTTTGCAGCTAAAAACAATCTTCACTATTTTTTTTATTTATTTATTTTTTTTTTGTTTGCTTTAAGAGTCTTGTGATTTTCGTAGGCTTAGGAGTGGGCTGCTGTAGCCAGAGATCGTAATTTACACAGGTTCCTGGGACCACACGGTCATAAACAGGAACATGGTCCAAGGGGTTATGACAGAAACTGATGTTAAAAATGGCCGATAAATTTGAATGAAACTTTCTAGATTGATTTATCATGGTCCAAGAAAAACTGATTGGATATAACTGAAAAGTTACTAGTTGGCTGGTTGGTTAACAAGACATTAAGACGTTCGCTTTATGAGTGACACTTCCCTGGCTCGAATCCCTGTAGCGGTAGGGATTATGTTTTTATTTGTTTTTTCTCAAAAGAAAAATATGCGTGTGAATTTTATACAGGCTGAATTTTGATATGGGTGCAGGTATACACTTTGAGAGTGTGATCTAGTTATTATTATTTATAATTATTAACAGTATTGGTATTTTAGTGAACCCAAATGACTAATAACATATATGATTCTGCCGAAGCATATAGCTCGCTAGAAAAATTCTTTGTGCACTTACATGTGTATGTACAGGTCTATTCGTTGCTGTCTCTTATACACATCTAGATGTGTATAAGAGACAGGTATTGATTCGAGATGCTGTACAGAACTGCCAAACAAATTATGATGGCGTCATTATACATCTGATGGATAACCAGGTAATATCGACAACTGTAAATAAAATGGAAAGTAATTAGTATTAGTTGTTATCACAGGCATGGAATACACATGCAAGAATACTGTCATATTCAGAACTG